AATTATGGATCTTAAGCCACTTGCAAAACCCATAAAAACACCTTAAAAAAACGGGTAACGACTCTTTTCGCTTTTGAAAAAAGTAGACGACCCAGAATCTTTCTGCAATTAAAATAATCTACAGAGTCTAGGAATTCTAGAGGTACGGTTTTTTTTTAAATTCGATAAGAAATGGCTAAGTTTTGTCGTTGCGAACTTGCTGTTACACGTTTTTCGTAGGCTTCGTCGGCGTAAAGTATTTTACCCACCGTATTCGGAGTGTTTAGAACTTCTTGGCGAATTTCGAAATCTTCTGTGTCCGTAGGTTCTCGGGAACATCACACTTACCCTTGGCAGCAGTGTTGCCAGTATTCCAGATTTATCTGGATTTTCCAGATTTTTGATCGTCTTGCCAGATACACAGACAGACCACGTATATTTTCAGATTTTTTAAATATGTTCCAGATTTTCCCAGATTTGTTAAACATGTTGCTTTAAAAATATCACTGCAATTGATTTACCCTCTAATAAAAAATAAAAAGCCAAACTTGCTACTCTAATTAATAAAGGCCATCAACGTTGGACATTATTGGAATTTTAAGGTACTTCTGAAAATAGTTCACAATTAAGTGAGAGGCGAATTCTTTGTGAAATCAAAGGAGAATTTCAAGCTACTTTTGAGTAGAGCTACATCCATCTTTGTGGGCTTCGGGGTCGTGCGGCGTCACCCATTATTTAGGCGTATTGTGAGTGCCACGAAGTTGAGGGTTCGATTCCCGCTCCAGCCGGTGCAAATTTTGGTAATCTGAAAATTTCCCTACTGTTCTAATGGGTGTGGTGTGTTGTCCGTTGTCTAGTGTTAAATATTCAGTCCGGGCAACCTCTGGTTGAAGACGGTGTCAATTTTCTTGTCAACTATGATGACAATTGCATGTAGATTTTGTCAAGAAAGGAAATACAATCCGAAAGAGAAATCATAGAAAATTCTTATGATGAAACTTAAGGAGTATGCTGATACGAATCGTGCGAATAATTTCAATGGTATCCTGTCCAATATTTCTATGGAGATTAATTTTAATAAAATTTTAAGCGCAAATTCGGGGAGACTTTCAAAACCATTTTGGCAAAGTACTTGAGTACTTAGGTAATATTGAAAAGGATTTCAAAACAATTCTGACCTTACCTGCAAAGCAGATTGAAGGGAATTATCGGATAAGTCTGAAAAGAGTGTGACGGTCATTCTAAAGAGTGTACCAAGGAAATTGTTAAGAATATTTTAAGAATTTCATAGAGAAAAATGGACACAAAATTGAGCCAATTCTTGGGAATTATTACCAATTTGATGGAGCTGTGGAATTGGAGAGTGATTTATAAGATTTCAAGAGGTAATGCTAAGAACTCTTAGAATGTTACTGGAAAAGTTTAGATATTTTCAAGATTATTTTAGGGGAATATAGAAAAGAAATATGATGGAATTCTAGGATGATTCAAATTGAACTAAAAAAAGGCGAACAGTCGAGTTACCCGTAGTTTATGTAAACTGTGTGTGAGTTCCACGATGTTAGGCTTTGATTCAGTCCGGTGAATTTTGCTTCAAAATAAAATTGCCTTCTGGTCTGCTGGATGTTGTGTGTTGTATGATGTCAAGAATTAAACTGTAAATCTGATCAACCTCAGAGTAATATTAGAATTATTTAGAACTAATAAAATCTTTAAATTATGGTGCTGTTTCAAATAGTAAGAACTACATCGACTATTAGTTCCAAAAATCCATCCCTTCAAATTTCCTTGATTCTTTGCTTCTCATTCTTTTTAAAAAAGTTATAGTTTAAAAAACAATTCTAACCACATTTTCTGCTGTTTTTACCCACATTTAACTCAATTTTTGAAATGCTGCGTAATGGATATTTGAACTTTTTGGGCACACCGTGTCAATGCTTTTCAACTTTTGAATGATTTTAGCAATGCTAACAAGTTATTTGCTTTATATAATTTATTTAAACATGTAATTTATAACCATTCTAGTACTTTAAATAAATTCCAGATGATCATACTGACCTATTTTTACGGGAGATTGGCACATCACTTTGATTTCAATAGCATTATGTAAAAAAGAGGATTTTTTGGGGCATTCCAGATTTTTCCAGATTTTTCTGAAAATGACCTGGCAACGCTGCTTGGCAGTCACATACAGGTTTCCTGGAATCTGGTTGAAGTCCATCTTCACATATGTCGCGTCATCCATTACGCAGCAGTGTGGTTTCGTTAACTTCTGGTCGTACATCTTCCGGGCACGGCTTTTTGCGACCGTATTCTGTTTCTCGTCACGGTTTGGGGACTTCTGAACCTTAAACGTACGTAGTCCAGCTCGAGTTTTGGTATTCTGCACGAAAGTCTTGCTCACATGCAACTTTTTAGCCACATCTCGAACTGAGGCGTTCAGTTTCCGTTTAAAGACCCTAACCACGCGTTTGTGATCGTTCTCATTTACCTGACGGCTGATTTTCCGGATCTTCGCTTCCGATCAACAGTCAGACGTTCTTCGAACCGTTTTATGATACCAGACACCGTGGACTTGAAGTTTTTGCGATGGCACGATGCGACAGATCCTTATTCTCAAAGTACTGGTGCAAAACTTTTTCGCGCACGCACTGTTCTTTCATCGCCATTTTGAAAACTTTTGCGCACCTGATGAAATCATCTCACAGAGTGTAAACAATACACATTAAACTATGCATACGCAAAATAATTTTACCCAACGGATCTTAAGTTAGAGCAATTTGAGTGTGTGCGGATTTTAAACGGTACACCCTTTAGGAATTCTCCTTGATGATTTTTTTCACAACTCCCACCGAATTATCTAGGATTTGAATTCAGAACTTTCTTTCTACTTCCCAGAAATTGATTGAAATTCATCGCACAATTCCTTAGAGAATCCTCTCCGAATTAGCTTGGAATCCTTGCCAGAACTCCATTAGGATGTTTACCAGAATTTTCGAGTATTAGTACAAGACACTGAAAAAGTCTGCACAATGTAGACGAAATACGCGTAAAGAAAATAAGGTAGTGGAATTAAATATAAATTACTAATCCTTCTCTCTCTCTCTCTCTCTCTCTCTTTATACATAAAACCTGTCAATTTCGCTTTAAGACAGTGACAATCAGCGATTTTATGACTCATGAGCGTTAACTCAGAGTGAAGCAGCTTTTAAAATCTCTCCGAGTGAATGAAACTGTCATTTATCATAACATTATAAAAGTACGTCTTAAATCAGGGTTCATGAAGTGCTGAAAGAAACTGAAAGGTATGTTCCAGCTGTGATGACTTTTCTCAACGAATGTGGCTGGTAATTATGGGCAAGAGAGAAAAAATTAACGACGATGTTTTATAGTGAGATATATACAATGGGTTATCACATATCTAATGGATGAAATCCATGTGAATTTCACATAGCTTTTCTGTGATCACATAGCAGCAAATCCCACCACAAAATCACATGAATATTATGAGGTCGATGAAATTCATATGAAAAATCACATACAATTAATGTGATTGCATAAAGGTTATGTGTAATTCAGATGAATTCCATTAATTTTGATTATGGATGAAAATCATGTGCGTCTCCAATGGAAGGTACATGAAAACTTTTTTCGGTGTATAGCTATAGCCGTTGTATCCTGCACGGTAAGAAAAAAGGACCCAACGGAAAGTTCACTTTTACCTACTTTTGACTAGTTTGTCTCCTTTTCTCCTTCTAATGTTGTCAAAAACGGAGAAGCAAAACTACCCAACAGGAGTGGTAAAGTGTGGGAACCCAACGTTGAGTATAATCATATTTACCCACTGTTGGGTATAACTAACTTACTTTTGGTTAAAAAGCCAGTGGAAAATTCCATACGAACAGCACGCAAGTAAATGAAAATTACTTTAACCCGCTTTACCTACGTTTGGGTTCCTGTACTATAGTGCCGAGATGAGTGAAAATGTGTCACTTACAGCATGTAGCGCTATGGCGATATGACTCATGAACTTCTACCAACTATGAATATTACAATTCTACCCAAATCAGTAAACTTGTTCAATAAATGCATGAGCATAATGTTGGCAATCTTCCCATCGCCTCGGAATCTTGAAGTCAACTGATCGTGCCACAAATACCCCCAGATGGACGACTCATAATCCTGCCTATAGGAAAGGGAGTTTAGATGATATATTTAGCTTGACTCGTTGCAGAGCATACCGCTTGAGACGAGATGCACACAGAAATGGGGCTTGTGCCGATAATGTTGGTGCATCACAGAAGAAAATTGCATTTTATTCCAAACCCATCCGATCTCGCCTCGCAAATCTACTGTGTAGTAAACAAACCGTGATGGCTTTCCTCGTGTCGCAAGCCGTGAAAGTGTCTTTTTTTTTATAGAACACGTGTGTTTGCTTTCTTCGATTCAGTGTCCCGCTAGACAGGAAAGATCGGTGATTGGAAACTTAATTGAAACCTGCATTCCCATGAACGGTCGTTGCCATTCGTTCTAGAGTGGCTCACTGCAACTGCAACTCGTGTCGTAGCTCAATCGGGCCCATCTCTTATCAAGAGAGGCAAATTCAAATATAAATCAATCAACTCGGGTCCATCAAATTCGTCTCGTACTCTTTCTCTGACTCTGACAACGACCGCGTGGCTTCGTGAGTTCGTGACTGTCCATCATCATCATCATCATCATCGCGGACGGACGCGCGCGCCCGGTCGCTAGAGCTCTATCAGCAGTTCCCATTCTCGGCTCGTCATCAGCTGTTTTGTAGGCCCTCTCATCCGCTGTCGCTTCCAGAAGTCGTCGCCGTCAGTCAGTCGTGATAATGAATTCCCCTCGTTAAGGTTAACGAAGAGCTTTGTTGCTTTTGGCTAACGTCGCAATTCTTGGCATGGTTTCGTTGTCTGATAGTCCTGAAACAAATTGTACTCTGCATAAACCTTACTATATTTCCTCAATAGTCCTAACCGATTCCTATTGTTCGATTTCAGCCGAGAAACCCGTTCCGGAAGTTGGAAGCAGCAGCAGTAGTAGCACACCAACCGAGACGATGCAGCAAACCACAACCCGGACCGAGATGCGCCCGGTCAAGTATCACTATGCGGACTCATTTTGGTGTACCTATCTGATTTCGGTGTTCGCGGCCAGCATAGCCGAAACGGTCACGTACCCACTGGATCTCACCAAAACCCGACTGCAGATACAGGGCGAAGGGGCAGCCGTTTCGGCCGGCGGCGCGATCAAGAAGGTTCGTATGGTTGGTTGTGATCGTGTGTATTATACAATTGAGTCTTGCAACCGAACGTGAAGAGACGTTATCAGCGTTAGACAGCCCCGTAGTCAGAGGGGTGTGTAGGGACCATACCCCCAATTGCAGTGAAACAATCTGTGCTTTATGGATTTGTGATTATTGAGTGCAATTTAACTTAGGTCCTCGGTCCTCGGTAGTCGTGTGAGTGAAATGTCGCTATTAAAACGAATATACCGAATTGCCAGGGGCGGTATTTATTCTACGATGAAAAACATAGTATTAGCGATGTCAGAAGCGACAAAGAAGAAAAGATTTCGTAAAAGTGATAAGTTGAACGCAATTATTTTTAATCTAATCAATGGGTTGTTTTGTATTCAAAAACAAAACAAAAAGTTGATGACATTTTGAGACCTGAACAATACAGCAATCGGGTGTTTCCTACTAAGATAAACATAAAAATTAAATGTAAATCTTCGAGAGATCTTATAACAGTTGATCGTTTTTTTTTTCTTTTCATTCGAAGGGCCCAAGTGGTCCTCAAGTCCCCGTACACAGCAAATTTACTTTGAAAACAATCGCCAACCTTATATCCTACTGATCACGTGTACCTATCGCTACCGAGTATCAGTAGATAGCTAACCATCATTACCATTAGTCCAATACTGCTTCCACTGTAATAGGCATACCAGTATAGTATAATTGGTAAATGGTCTAGTCTATAAATCAGCCACTTTCTCTTTCGTTAAGAAACTCAGCTAACACAACATTCCCTGTTGTGTTTGAAATTTTGGTCGCAAGATAAGAACCTCCTTTATCAAACTATGTGGCAAAAATAGCAAGAAATCTGTTCTGCATAGCCGTGTGACTATCAAAAGACAAAGTCGATGAAGAGAATCGATCAATTCAAGCAGGACATTTTGAAAAATGTTCATTTTGATATGTAAAGATTCCACACCAACATTTTCATTGAATATTCAACTATTATTACCTATATTGCACATTTCTGAGCCACCAGTGACACTTTTGTTTCTTGAATTTTGCAGCTCAAATACCGCGGTATGCTAGCGACCGCTAGTGGTATTGTTCGCGAAGAAGGAGCCCTGAAGCTATGGCAAGGCGTCACACCGGCTCTCTACCGTCACATTGTTTACAGGTGAGTGCAAAAATGTGGCCCCGGTGTTTATCAATCTAATCAGCAAAATCGTGCTTTTTTTTCCCTTTGCCCAGTGGAGTCCGCATCGTTACGTACGATGGTCTGAGAAAGAAACTTCGCAATGGTAACAATGACTTTGTACTGTGGCAATCGGCTCTGGCCGGAGTCGGAGCTGGTGGTTTGGCCCAATGGCTTGCATCGCCGGCCGATTTGGTTAAGGTACACATCCAGATGGAGGGCAAACGTCGCCTGATGGGAATGGAACCGCGTGTTCATAGTGCAGCTCATGCGTTCCGTGAGATTGTGAGCCGCGGCGGAATCTTGGGCCTGTGGAAAGGTAGCGTCCCGAACGTTCAACGTGCAGCGTTGGTCAATTTGGGAGACCTGACCACATACGATACTGTCAAGCGGTTCGTTATGAAAAAGACGGGTCTGCCGGATTGTCATTTGGTGCATATTATATCTTCAATTTGCGCGGGACTGGTTGCCGCCACTATGGGTACCCCGGCGGATGTCGTCAAGACAAGAATCATGAATCAACCTACGGATTTGAATGGAAAGTGAGTACCTGCTAGAATCGGATGGGATGAGGTAAAATGTATGAACGCCGTATTTTTCTTTCAAATATTTTAGGGGGCTTCTCTACAAAGGATCTCTAGATTGTCTCCAGCAAACCATTGGAAAGGAAGGTTTCTACGCTCTGTACAAGGGATTCCTTCCGGTTTGGATTCGTATGGCACCTTGGTCACTCACTTTCTGGCTTTCATTCGAACAAATTCGCTCTAGTCTGGGTGCTGGTGGTTACTAGGTGGTGATAGGCACACATCACTCGTTTGATAGGTTCTACAGTTAGTAAGTACAGTTTTTATTAACTTTTACGTGGTCTGCTCTTTCGTTGCTGCACATAATTAGGTTGCGATAGTAGGCACAAATGTACAGTTCTATTTCGCACAAATCAGAATTTGGCAGAACACTACTCCGTTCAACGACTCAACAATCCACAACAATAAAAAAGACAAGCAACAAAGCAAAATCACGTCGACTAGAGACGAGGGTACCATCTAAATTGTCAGCTTTTTAAGGGGCTATCATTTTGATCACATACATTGTTTTCGTTCTTCAACAGTTAGTCAGTTGCGAACAGTTCGGAACATTCGGACGAAAGAATCATTGTAGTTAAGAAAACATATCCTTTGCGTGAGACTATTTGCTCTATCGGAATCGTTCATTGGTTGAGGAGGGACTATAATTTTGATCTGTGATTTAGTCGATAGTAGCCACTAGGTTTAAGCATACATCCAACCAATTGAGTTCGATTGATTTTGGTACCGGATTTAGCTCACGCAGGTAAACAGCATCTTCTCATCGAAACTCCACTCATTTCATTCGAGGCAGCTCGATCATTGTCGTCGTCAAACCGGGGGGAGCTACCATTCAATGCGAAGCATCACACAAGACACAAATGCCTCAGGGATGCCTTTTTTAAACAGCCTATATCATCACTTTGGTACAATAGTATATCACCTTTATTTTCCTGAGTGCCATAGAATTCTCATAAAAAACTAGGCGACGATTATTGTTCATCCAGCATCCGACATTTCGAATAGATACCACCTTTGCGAAGAGACTTAACAAACGAATTCTGTTATCTTCAACTGTAACATTTTTTCTAACGTTTTTGATTAAGTATTAGACTTTACAGGGGAGTTTCTCTGCGTGAAACAAGTTATGGAGCGAAAGGAGAATATTCTGCAACTATGTAGACCGCCTTGTTCTATACACGATGATCCCCTATACTTTACATACATAGGATATATACTATAACCAACACGTGACAATACCAAATTTTATCATGTTACAATTCCTGAAGAATCCTACTTTATCGAACATTTTGTAGTTTCTATTCTCGTACACACGACTGTGACGAAACAGCCACAGGTGGCGCACATATTCTACGACCACAGACTGGACACGGAAAAAGTGCCGCATGTTGTTTTGTCCCCTACAAAAAACTATACAAGTTATACAACCTACAAATTACCAATCCCGAATTTGATTTAAGACAAGGTAGATGAAACAATCCGGTAGGGAACTTCTAGCTGTGCTGTAGAACATGGGGAAGACATACTACACTGTACTGAGAAAGGTTTGCCGCGTTGTTCGAAAAATGTATATGTATTGTCCTTTGGAGTTGAGAAACGAATGCTTAAATATGTAGGTGAGAAGTGTATTAGAATGAATAAACAATTTCGATAAGCTGACATCATTTGTTGTTTTCACGTGATCCGAAAAGTCCGATACTTTTGACTGGGCACCTAGTTTTTGATCAGGAGAAAAGCCTGTACCGATTACTTGCAGGTTTCGATTTCACCCTTTTGGTACTGTCTAGTGTGGCCGACCCACCTACATACTTTCTCAATTGTTTGATGATATTGACTCGGATGTAATCGATGGTGAAGCTCAGCAATTAATCATATTTTGTTGTTTTTGACATCATCCACATCCAGAGGGCCAGTCACTTTCGAATGTATGGGAATGGTAGGAAACCATTTGGAAATGCATGGAAATTTTCAGTTTTTATTCATTATCGTCTTTATGAGCAGTTTTAAAAGCACAAAAATTGTACGAGTACATTAATATGGTGATAAGGTAAAAACTCGTTAATTTGTTTACTTCTATGAAAGCATGTTTAGTCACAAATCGTGGATTTTCTGATATTCTCCATACTGCAAAAAATGATTTTCCTACCAATGAAGGGGCGACATCTCTCGGATCTTCAGTATAGCTACTACTCAAATCATATAATTAATTGAGATTCAGTGGTGCAACCGACTTTGCGGTGATACGGGATGCCTGAGTTGCCTAGGAATACGCGCAGCAACTGGAAGCAGCATTACCAACAGAAGAGCAGCTTTGCGCAGCTAATCTTGCAGATCCGTATATGTACTAGTGCGCACAACCCAAGTAACCAAGAAACCCGCAATCCGGGGCTTCCTAGCCAATGGATTGCCAACAGAGTAACAGATGTCGATTGAAAAAAATTAAGGCGATTTTTTTTTGTATGCAGAACCTCTTTTTTTCGCTTGTAAAATCGATATGTTTGCAAAAATGTTTAAATCTTCATGCATTACTGTTGATGTAGACTACGTCTTACGGGTAGGTACAGGTGGTAAATTGAAAACTTAAAATTGCGGTCGTCACGAAAAGATGTTAGGTTTTGAACGCTTATTTCTTTGTCATTTATAGATGAAATTATAATCCAAATACACCAATCGATAGGAAATAACTATACAAAGCTGCTGAAATAAATACTTCTCCAATTTAAAAAAAAAACGTTTGAAAAATGTTCTGCTTGAAGCTGAAAAATTATAAAAGATCGCTGCTGTTGTTCCTCCGCCCAGTTGAGAAAGTGTTTGACAATGTCTGGCACTATGGGCTTGTATACAAGCTTTGTAACTTCAACTTTCCCTTATATCTTGTTAAAATCATCCGTACACACTAAGATTATTTTCCCGAAATCTGTGAAATTTTACCGAAATCTCAACAACTTAACGTTCGGTAAACAGTTCGGCGATTTTTTCACAGATTTCCTGTCATTTTTCACCGAATATCTGTGAAAAATCACCGAACGTTCAAGTGTTGTAATTTCGGTAAAATTTCACAGATTTCGGTAAAATAATCTAAGTGTGTAACTACCTCCAGCAAAGGTCGTTTAAGGTATCGTTGAATGTAAAGAGCCTGAATTTATAAAGAGGTGACATCTTATCCATTTGACAGGTCTTCTGCTCGATTGGAATGACTTTTCCTATGACTTTGACTGACAATCGATTATTCCAATTTTTACATGTCATCTCTTTATAAATTCAGGCTCTTTAGTTGAATGGTTGTCTTTCAGACACGTTTTCCATCCCAGCAGGAGTTCCGCAAGGCAGTCTGCTGGGCCCCTTGCTTTACAGCATCTACACTTCCGACATTCCTCCTCTCGGAGACGTGTTTTTCAAAAGAAGGATGCCTCGCGAAATAACGAACAAACTATAACGATGCCTTAACGGCTTTGCGGATTATGCCACCACGTGGAAAATCAAAATCAATGCCTCCAAAACACAAACAATCATGCTTCTCCATCGGCAATCGCTCAAGCTAAAACCGGCTCCATCTTGTAGTGTAACCATCGATGACACAATAGTTGAGTAGTCTGCCGAAGTTACCTATCTCGGGATGTTGTTCGATGAAAAGCTCCTTTTCCGCTCGCATGTAGAGAAAACTGTAGTCAAGTGTTCTGCCTTGGTTAGGTGTTTGTATCCGCTGATTTGTCGCAGATCCCACCTCTCAAGGGTGCACAAACTGGTTGTCTACAAACAAATCATAGCACCTGCGATCCTCTACGCAGCTCCGGTGTGGGAATCATGTGCACTAGAGTGATGCAAAATTTGAAATTTTCGCTCCACAATACTTAAATGATTCCAAATCGGATCCTGACTAACCTCTCCAAATTTGAACCCATTTGGTCAGAAACTGAGATGGCACAAACCATTTGAAGTTTGTATGGGAATTACTATTGTAAAACCAAGATTTTTGTTCATGTCTATCTAATAATTCACCATATCGGTCTGCTTCAAAAGCTTTTTCCCAGCTACAACTTTGCCGAAGACTACTTTTTGTTTAAATGCAAATATCGAAAGTTATCAATGGTTCAATGCGCTGATGTCTTATGATCATGCTCAATCAACTGCTCAGCAGGAAACATTGGAGTTTCTGGGGCGTTTAATAGGACACAAAAATCATGGCTACTATGTTACACTGCAAAATACAGTGTTGCCTACAGAGCAGCTGCTTGATCATGTCATAAGTTTACCAATCTCTTAAAAAATTAATAACTTTTTTCTGTCTCGTTTTACATAGAAACAATCTTAAGCAAAGTTGTAGCTGAGAAAATTTTCTGTAAGAATTGCTATCAAACTATTGCGCAGCTTAATATGGAAAAAGACTAGAAGGCAATGAACAAAAAGTTGAGATTCCCCATAGTAATTTACATGTAAACTTCAAATGGCTTGTGCGAAGTATGTTTCTAACCAAAAGAGTTGTAACTTTGGGAGGCTAATCAGGGACCGACTTGAAACCATTTAAGCACTGTGGAGCGAAAAAGTCAAATTTTGCATCAGTCTAATGTGCACAGACTCATAGGAACAAAATCCAGGTCGCTTAGAATAGAGTTCTGAGGATGGTACTTGATTGTCCTTTCGATACAAGAATTTACGATCTCCACCTAGAGCAACGTTAGATTTCAACATTGGTAACATTAAGACTAGGTTTGTGCAGAAATGCAATAGGGAAATGGATGTCGGTCTAAATGCCCTTAAAATTTAAGCCCATAAATTCAGCAATCGACAAAATTTTCAATAGCGGCTAAAAATATCCATTAGTACCGTCACAATAACGCTTTCATCTAGATAAAATTGTTGAATAGCAGATTTTTAACGATGGGCCCAATCTTAGATCCATAGGCCAACATTAGAGCCATTTCTCCTACATCAGAACATGCCCAGCAATTTGTATATAGTGCGGGTTAGGTGTCTATAGTAGTTGTAGGTTAGTTGTATTGTAAATAGGCTCTAAAACGATAGGACTAGGAACTGTAACTAATAATAATTGAAATTTCAAAAGAACTAAAGTTGAAAAGACTCAGCTGGGTCACTTGATAACCCATACATGTTAACCATACAAATACAAGAAATAAAGATCATTTAAAGTCAAAGTAAAAAAAAAAGTGCCTCCGCTCATTTTCACATCGGTTAGTGGTACCAGGAGCAAGTCAGCGGTAAAAGGTGAAATTAGTATGCTGTCGTGCAGTGGACGTTGACAACCAGCGGTGGGGTAGAAGGAGACTCACCTCACCACACACAAAATTGATTCGCAAAATTCGAGTTTTCATCCGATTGCCATCAAATTTTCAGGGATTGAGAAATAACTATTAAACTTCATTTTACCATTTTACTCGTATTTTATTTACAGTCCATACGCAAATGCCCGCACCTTGGCCTTAACCCCGGCCATAAGATTCTGCACAACCTGTGAATCAACCGTTTTTTGCATGTAAACCCATACTTTCTTCAGTTCCTCGACTGTCTTCACTACCTTAGGTCGTTTAAGAAGGTGCTGCTTCATAATCGCCCAGTACTTCTCGATGGGGCGGAGCTCCGGAGTGTTGGGAAGGTTGAAAATTTTCGGCACGAAATTGACCTTATTGTCCGCATACCACTTCAGCACGTCCTTGGAGTAGTGGCATGAGGCCAAATCCGGCCAGAAGATTGTTGGGACGTTGTGGGCCTTCAGGAGAGGAAGCAGCCGCTTCTGGAGGCACTCTTTTATGTACACCTGTCCGTTCATCGTGTCCTGGGTCACGAAAGGTGCACTCCGCTTCCCGCACGTGCAGATGGCTTGCCAAACCAGGAATTTCTTCGCAAATTTGGTCATCTTCTGAGTGCGGACATGCTCCGGAACGCTGAACTTATCCTTGGCCGTGAAAAACAGGTTGCCGGGGATCTGTTTGAAGTCGGCCTTCACATATGTTTCGTCGTCCATGATGCAGCATTCAACTTTCGTCAGCATGTTGAGGTACAACTTCCTGGCATGGGTTTTGGCGGACTTGTTCTGCTTCTCGTCGCGATTAGGGGCCTTTTGTACCTTGAACGTTCGAAGCCCAGCCTTAGTTTTGGCCTTCTGGACAAAACTTCGGCTTAGGTGCAGCTTCTTAGCCACATCCCTAACGGAGGCGTTCGGATTTCGGTTGAAGGCCCCAACTACGCGGTTGTGATTTTTGGTGTTGTGCGGAATACTTTTTCCTTCACTTCTGGGCTTCCGATCGGTGGTATACCGTTCCTCGAACCGCTTAATCACTCGCGACACCGTGGAATTCGCGATTCCCAACGTTTTAGCGATGGAACGATGCGAGAGATCCTTGTTCTCGTGATGAATGCGCAAGATTTTATCACGCACGAGCTGTTCTTTCGACTCCATTTCCGCGAGTTTTGATCACAGGACTTTAAAACTTGCAGGATGTAAATAATGCAATATGAACTAAATCCACCCAAATTTTCATTAAATTCTACCCAACGGTTAAAAAGTTAGAGCAATTTCATAGTGTGGCAATTTCATCGTGGACACCCTTTATTAACGAAAGAGAAAGTCGACGAAGAGAATCGATCAATGTTACTTAGGACCTAATGCAATGTTCAGCTTGATTTATCTCGCTTTCTCATTTCATGCTGAAAAATGGTTTTGGTCCTAAGTAACAAAGTAACATTGATCATTGTTCAGTTTGATTTCTGAAGAGTCGATCGGATTAAAGAGGCTAAATTTATAAAGAGACGACATGTCAAAATTGGAACAATCGATTATCTGTCAAAGTCATAGGAAAAGTCATTCCAATCGAGCAGAAGACCTGTCAAATGGATAAGATGTCGCCTCTTTATAAATTCAGGCTCTTTAGATTGGATGATATCGGGCAGGTGTGGGATGTGCTGTAATACCCCGTTCACATTACAGCCTATATCACGTAATATAGGCTGTCTTGCAATGAGCACTCATACATAGGATTTCCAGTGAAAACTAGATGTATGAGTGCTCATTGCAAGACAGCGTATATCACGTGATATACGCTGTAATGTGAACGGGGTATAAGGTAAGAACGATTTCGTACCGAAGCTCATTTTCGCATCGGACAAAATAGTGGACCGATCTTCTCCTGAGCAACTAGCGCAGCAGTATTTCTATAGAGGTAACTCTAATAGCGAATTTGTTTATTATTCAGTTCCAACCTGAATCGGGTATCAAGATCGGGTCTGCTTGTTTTTTGACAAACGTCAGTTTGATCATTTGTTTTTAAAACCTAACTCAGGTTGAGGTTCGCACTGACAAAAAGTTCGGTTTTGCACTGGGTTGGAACTGGTTCCAACCCCGATAATAAACAAATTCGCTATAAGACTAGTAGGTCCCGAAGAAACGTGCTCAATTTTTTGGCTCAGCTCTGGTACTATCTTCGGTCCCAAGCTAATCGATGCACCCCTCGAAACATGGGAAAATCCACGAACCCCTCATTTTATCTGTGAAACTTTCATAGAGAATCAAAATAAACATAGTGTAGTACTAGAATTCCGACTAGAGTGGGATACGTTAACCGTTTGCTTGGGACCAATAGGCTAGTCAAGTAGTGAGCCAATTTCAAATCGATAGTTTCGTATTGATTGTTGGTATTTCCAACGGTAGGAAGTGGAGCCTTCTGATTCGGATTGAACAATCGGCCCTTCTCAGGACCGCCACTTTTTACGGAAACAGTAATATTTCTTGGATAAATCGGAGGTATTGACCGATTTTTAGTGAGACTGCAATATTATTTCCGACTTGGGTCCCGTTGAAATATTACGAAATGAGGAAAAAAATATTTTTTGATGAACACTACCCCCCACCCCCATAAGTTTTTGCAGTCAAAAGGAAAGTGAGGAATCAAAATTAGTCTTCACCCATGCCCCATTGTAAGTTCTATCGAGGTTTTAGGCAATTTTTCAAATCTAAATCATGGCCTACAGAACCCTCATAAAACCAAATAGTATGTTACTTGGTCAGTTTGAAACTAAACCCTATGTTTCCAACTTAAAACTCCGTTGCCATTGATTTCCACTTGCGCTGTCTCAGAACAGGATAGCCGCTAGTGACAGTTTACAGGAAATGTTGAGGTTTTTAAGCTACAACTAGGTAACTAGGTGGCTTTTATTTAAAATTCGATATATTTTTCCGTTCATACCACATGCAAAATGTGAAACTCGATCATACCGAGAAATAGGATAGTTATGTCTTATCAATGCAGCGTAAAAATACGTTTTTAAGCTATTATGAACCTTATGCCATGGTCTTGAAAACAAGTGGAATTTTCAAACTTGTTCTGCAAATATTTCTTGGAAGTTTTTAAATAAGCGATTATTGAGAAATTGTGCAACAGTGAAAATCAGTGTCTCAACATATGGCTGCAAAATACATGCGTGATTCCCGGAAACGCGTGAAGGATCGTCAGGCAGACGGTTCTCCTAAAAAGTTCCTTCAACTCAAATTAATTTTTAACCAGCCTTTGGAAGTACACACGACGTACACGTAACTATGATGCTTACCTTGCTTTCTATCAAAACACTTAACAGGTGGAAAACCTGTATAAGATTTTTTTGCTCTGATTTTAAAATTCAATAACTGAAGCCCCCTTATTTTCAGTTAATGTTGTATTAAGCACCTATATATTGGAAAACAAACGCTTGATTTGAGAAAAGTCACAGTATTGTATAGATTAGGAGAGGAAGGGGCGTAATGAGCACCTCTCTCCCCAGCAGCCCTGGGTTCAATCTCAGTCGCCGCCGCCGGGATGTTCTGAGGCATAACATCTCTGATCACGCCTTCCTTCGGGGAAGTAAAGCCGTTGGTCCCCGGTTCATGAGTTTGAACGGTCGATAGGTAGAGTCCAGGTGTGGGAGCTGCCTCCCTGGTGTCGGTAGCATTGGTGCTCAGCACGGAAAACAAGCTCGACGGGAAACAAATCAAGGAAAAAATATACTGATACCATAAAAGCCATAAATTATAGTATGAAATCTAAAATATGTACATAGGACCGAAATAATAAGTTCTACTGTTTTTTAAATCAATATCAAGAAAAATACACGAGAAGTTTACTGAAAGCCGGCGCCGGTGGTGTAGTGGTAAGCGTGACTGCTTTCTAACACCCCAATGGGTCTGGGTTCAATCCCCAGCCGAGGTCGGTGGGATTTTTCTGAGGCATAAAAATCTCTGGTCACGTCTTCCTTCGGAAGGGAAGTAAAGCCGTTGGTCCCGGCCCATGTGTGTTGTGAATGGGTGCGATATCCTACGCAGGTGTGGAAGCTGCCTTCCTGCACATTCGATTGCCTTAAAATGGATGGCAATCGATGTCCGTCGGTGATTGGCACTAGATTGCGGAACAGAGACCGACGTTAAATAAAGGAAAACAAGTTTACTGAACAGCTCAACGTAGTCGACGGTCACGTATTGTATACAACACAACCCTACAAATATTTTATATAACTTTCATAGGAAGGTGGCGCTGATGTCAGTAGTTTTGAGATTAAAACTGACAGCAACCCAATAGGACTTGCTGGCGATTTACCACCGCGCTTGCTTTTGATTGACCATCAACATTTTCACTGTTTTTTCTCATCGTATGCAATCCGCAATGCAACAACTCACAACTCACATGCATCTTATCATTGGTGAAGCCGGATTGGTAAACAAAAAAATCACTCACTCTCTCCCGTTCCTAATCGAGCGAGAAATTCAGTTACTTTTGGGTAATGCTCTGAGAATTTCCCGCGAGAGAGGAACGTCAAAATTGTATATTTCTAGCCGGATCCGTCGGTATTTGTCGCCTAGTCAAACGTTAGCTACTATCGTGTGTGGTTGGATTGTACCAGTTAGTCGTGTCCGGTAATTTGATCATCGATCGCATCGGCAACCGTTGTAAGAAGAATAACTTGACAAAAAGTGCACTTGGAAGACATCCATAGTTTTTGGTGAACCGTAACCGAAGCGAAGACAATAAAAATGGCAAACAATATCAGTAAGTTGAATATATTAGCTGGGCGTGTGCAGAAACTTTCTTCTCCATTGCTCTACCTATATAAGCGAAATGCACCGTTGTTCGGTTTTTTGGGTACTGTTGTTTATTTGATTGACTTTTTGGTGTACGTAGGCATGGTTTGGGATTTTTAGAAAAGGTATAATTGAATCCGCCCTACAATACGTGTAGTTTTTCTTGTCTGGTCATTACAAATAGTATGGGTAGGTGCAGATCGATGAAAAAGAGTGAATAATGATTGAAAGCCGGCAAAAATCGATCCCTGAAAGTCGTAATACCTAACGCTAATATGTGGGAAGACAAGAGTGGCGAGAAAAGAAATAAAATCTAAAAATAATTTAAATTTCCTCTCTGCGCAAATATGTAAACGTTTTCCTAGGATTGATTTTTTCCTAAAAGATTCACCTGTTTTCGTTTGCGTACTGTTAATAAGCATGGACAACACTTGAATTTAACATAAAGGCCCTGATTTACACATAGATGTTAATGGGTATGACCTGTTTTCAACGAGCTCACCATTGCGCATTGGTGATATACCAACGAGTACAGTAGGGTTGAACGCGTGTCATGTATCAACTGAGTTGATCTTTTCGCTGCTGCGACCGATTGTGATGATGGCGAACATAGTGAATAGATAGTTAACGATTCTGCCACACAAAGTCGCTTTAGTTTGGCTTATAGGCGTTTAAAACTTGGTCTCCCGCGGCCATCTTGGAAAAATAAAGTTTTATGATGCGGAATTCAAAATTTTGCACGACGAGGTAGGGGAGAGAAGTTTAACAACGCTTATATTTTTCGAATAAAGTACTTTCAATTAATTTGATTGTGACTGGGGGAAAAAACGTCAAAATCTACCTTTTTGATTCACTTTCATAAATTGTTTTTATTTTTTAAATATCTATAGAAGCATCCTATGCAAAATTTTCAAATCTGCATCATCCAACCGTTTTTCAAGATTTAATGGCCTATTGGCATACCAACAAACATGACATCATCGTCGCCAGCATCATCCATTGGACGCTCATCTTATAGCGAATTCGTTTATTATTCAGTTCCAACCTGGATCGGGTATCAAGATTGGGTCTGCTTGTTTTCTGACAAACGTCAGTTTGCTCGTTTGTTTTTAAAACCTAGCTCAGGTTGAGGTTCGCACTGACAAAAAGTTCGGTTTCGCACTGGGTTGGAACTGGTTCCAACCCCGATAATAAACGAATTCGCTATTAGTCAGTATCTCTCACACGGTGTTTTGCAGTTTATGTATACATATATGTATGTATAGATAATGATGCCGCGGGATAATACCATTAGCGAGTTTTGTTTGCACATTCGTGAAAATAAAACTAAAATCAATTCAGATTAATTTACGTCAATAAAACTCGCAACATTGATAAAGTACCAATCTAAGTAACTCATAAGCTTTAAAAGCAATTCGCAACAATGTCCAAGAAATATGAGGATTGATTGCAAAATAATAGGGGAAGATAGGGCAATTTGGCCATCCTAAGAACTTCAACATTTATGATGCCAAACTCAGCGAAAAATGTCTAATCAATTGGATATTGCCAAGCTCCATATAGGGTAGGACTGGGCAAGATTGCCACCCTAAGTTTAAAATCATGTGTGTATGTAATATACGTAATACATTAAAATATTGTTTGTCCTAGTTAATTAATGTCCTCGCTAGCTACCTAGGGTTCACTCAAAAAATTCCACACGTTTAATCAAAGTGTTTAAACACTTGATTTTTTAAATGCACAATCACATTTACTTTAAGTGTATTTCACCTTGGCCAATGTGTTATTCACGTTAATTTATAGTGTTTCAAACTTTGAAATGTTGAAACAAATTTACTATCTATTCAAGTGTATTGCACATTGAATCACACTACTGTTCAAAACAGATGGATTTAAAGCGTTTTGCATTTCATCTTCTTCTTCTTCCTCGCATTTCAAGCTTATTGCGTATGGCATATTAGCTTATTGCGTGCTCTCAACTTAGTGTTCTAGATGCACAGTTATTAATTGAGAGCTTTCGATGCCTGTACCATTTTTGCATTAGTATAATTGTGTGGAAAAGTACAATGATACTTTAAGCCCAGGGAAGTCGAGCAATTTTCCAACCCGAAAAATTCCTAGACCGGACCGGGAATCGAACCCAACCACCTCCAGCATGGTCTTGCTTTGTAGCTGTGCCTTTACCGACTGAGCTAAGGGAGGTCCCATTTTTGCATTTCAATGCGATGTGAATTGCTTGCTCAGAAAGGTAAACATCGAAAACAAGACTTGTGACTTTATCCTATCAAACCGCCTCATATATGAGAGCAACCGTGGCACAGGGCACAGTGAGATCGAACGAAGACTCCGGCAGCAGCACACCTCAACAGTCCATGATCGAATCGCAAATCATACCTATTAAAAAGATATGTGAAGGCTCTGGCCTCTGGCAGTTTTGTTTATATATTTGTCGATTCATTTTTAGAGTCGGTAAAGTAAAATATTGAACTATGATGTGCAAAACTATTGATATCACCAAATCCAAGTGTGTCACAATTCAAAACCATAGTGCTCAGACATGATTCATGGCATAAGATTCACACATGAAATAGATGTGTTTCACAGTAAGCGCAAAATGAAGTGTGAGACACATGATGATGGCATGTGGAATTTTTTGAGTGATTGATATAGTTCAATGTATTCAAATTTGACTATCTACAAGGGGGAAGACGTGTATCTATACTTAAAAAAATATGCACGTCCGATCTACGTGAAAACATAGGTAGCTTTCGTCCATATTACGTTTCACGTAACAAGTACGTTAATGTCATGTAGCCAAACTGTATTCCCATTTAGTGGTCAACGTGAACAGTACGGTAAATTTAACACTTATTTTGGAATGGATTTTCTCGTAATGTTTACGTGATTTTGAAATTATAATTACTGAAAAATTATGTTTATCTTACGTTTACGTTCCATGATTATTACTAATATTGGAATGGATTCTCACGTAATATTTACGTGATCTTGAAGAGTCGTTGACATATGATCTAAAAATACCAGGAAAATAATATTTTTATAATGATGCAAGCATGTCTCTATTTTCTAACTACATGTCATTGAAAATTTAACAATGAACATTTCGTTGGTTCAATGATTTGATCAGGACCATTCCGTTTGCGCTGTCTTCTTCAGATTTATGATATTAATTCTAGCCTTTGAAATCGAAATAAATACATTTATTTGTGCGGTCTCCAAACAATGTAAAATAGTATAAAAAATCCATGTTTGTCTTTTTCATCAGTATGTCGCTTAGTTCGAGATCAAGAGCACATTGCTCTCCAAACCTTGTGTTCTCAATCCCTACCCTGCCATCCATTTGTTACAATTTTTACCCCTAACCACGAGATAGCCGTGAGTAGTCGACCCCCGCTTTACTAACGTTAGTTTTAAGTAATTTTGTTATCTAAACAATGAATATCGGCTCCGCAAAGCTGCAGCAATTGAGCCTGGAAAAATAACCGCATTATTTAAAAAAAAGTATAAAAAATTGCTTGTAATTTATACAGTGTTAGTGTTAGGAAATCCTAAACTCAGAGCAACTCTTCCTCTAATGAACTCGATAACGCCATATTGAATCACTTTTTCATACATGTAAATCACGTAAATCCATTTCACGTAAGCACTTTCATCATCAGCTCCAGTGAACATGACAAGATATGTTTTTCAATTTTACTACCATCATGTAAACATTGAAGTTGAAGTAATCGAACTAGCTACTTGATTTTGTAGAGTGTACCTACATGCTTATCGCTTACTTTCCCGTAGTGTCAACCGACATCACAATAATGTAAATCTTAAACATACACGGCCAATCATACCAACTCAGCGACCGAGATTAATTGACTCAGAGAATTTTCTTTCCATACGAAATTTACTCAGATTTGGAAGAAACTGCAGTTACTCATAAGCTATTCGAGTGACTAAAGTTTCTTTCAAATCTGAGTAAATTTCGTATGGAAAGAAAATTCTCTGAATCATAACAATCTCAGTCGCTGAGTTGGTATGATTGGCCGTGTAATGTTGCTGGATCGAGTGTTGTGCGGTGCATGCACAAAATTTCTTTGCAAACGCTCTGAGGCGCTTTCCAGCCCTATTACAGATTTGTCGAAATATCATTCGGACGTTGTAATGTTTCACCCCATGAACAGATTCTGTAATCTGGTCGACGGAAGATTTTTTAAATAATTTTGTGATGTTTATGTTAGCTTATTTTTTCTGCACTGCGGTTAGACAATAAGCTTATGAAGGTTTTGTATGGAAATATTAATTGTAGAAAAACTTGCTACATTTTTTGTAAGAAAACATTTAGAGAATGTATAAGAAATTCACCCATACATTTGATGTTCATGCCATTTGTTTTCAGGGGTTTAGATGGTGGTTTCTGTTCTTTAGCGTTGAGTAAATAATATATTGTATGGATTTATCATGTGCTCCAATTTATCGTTTGCGTGAGTTTTTTGTGGCGATTGCGTAAAGTGTTAATAATTGGACACACAATACCTGCATTCACTCGTTAGTTTCCGCCGGTTGGTAGTAAGACCAAAAACTGAAATACATAATACAGAGCTGCGGAAACCTTATTTGTGACGAATCTCATTATAACCTCGATATTTCAAAAGCACAAAATCAGCTCTTACAAAACATCAAATAGGGTTAACTACCACATTTCCGGCCTATTAAGCACAACCCGCACTTAGTCTTTCTTAATTTAGCGTAGCTTAACACCGAACGGAATGTTATTATTACTGATGGCTTTCAAATTTATTTACCTTTCGGTACTTACCGTAAGATTTGATTAAGAGAAACAAATCATTGAGATATTGTCAAAAGTCTAACACTGCTTCTTGACGCCAAACTCGGCCTACGGATTCTAAACTCGGCCTAACGCATTGAAACGCCAATGAATTCACTTCGGCCTATCGAATG